CTCCAAGAGGCAGGCAGTCATGCGGATGGAAACAGGAGTGGGCATCCGCTGTGCTGCACGAAGAAGAAAGTTCGAGGAAAGATGCACGAAGAGGAGGATGGCAGCAGGGACACGAGCTCCTGCGCAGCCTCGCGGATTTTGGCCGCGAAGTCGGTGGATGTGGCCGAGCTCGAGGCCAGCAAGGAGCAGGCCTCCAAGCTGTGCGGCTACTTGAACAAACTGTCCGGCAAGGGGCCTCTGAGGGGGTACAAGCCGCGGTGGTTCGTGTATGACCCGAGGAAATGTTACTTGTATTACTTCAAGACTCCCCAAGACGCACTGCCGCTCGGGCACATCGAGATAGGCGACGCGTGCTTCAGCTACGACGTGGAGGGGGACGAGGGTCAGTTTGAGATCCGCACAGCCGGGAAAGAGTTCCTCCTGAAGGTAGGAACTCTTTTTTCTTTTTCGTTTTTTTCAGCATGTGTGCAGCGCAACGCAGATCGTGTTGTGCTGTCATTTGTCACTTCCTTTCTCGCTGTGGAAAGGCAGACACACCCATTTGTAACTTGACAGATTTGTTTTCCAGCCTTGGCTTTTTAGTCTGGTACTCAAAATGTTTCTGCCGACAGAGACAACTCTTGAGAAGAGAAAAGGAAACTCAGTTATACATGTTGTTAGACAAGGAGCTTAATCAGCACACTACTCAGCTTGATTGCTTCAAAACACTGTGCACGCCCTCTGTTTACATGTAGAGATAATTTTAGCACTGAGTTAAATGCACATATGAGCTCATCAGCCTTATCTGCCTTTTGGAGAGAGGGGTCACAGCATCTCATGTGACTGTTGTCTTTGGCTGTCATGTGACTGTGACTGAGTTGGTGCCAAGACAGGTGCCTCTGGTTTCACTCAGCCTGACATGCCTGCTAAAGTCTGCATCAGTTTCTTTTTTTTTTTTTAAGCAGATGGTGTGAATAGTTAATACCAAACAGCTTGCGCCTGGCCCGAGGCTGGAACTGAGACTGAAACCAGCGTCTGCGCTCATTCACATGACTGAGCTGAATAGTAACCTGCTATTTAAAGTGCTTTTGAATTTTTCATGTGTTTTATTTAACCCTACAGCTGGTATCATTTAGTAAAAGTGGATTTCCATTAATAATGATGTTTGAGTTGTCTTTTCACCTTTGGATCCCTGATATAGGTCTTGTGAGTCCTTATCTGTGTGAATGTGTGTGTTTGTGTTTACCCCAGGCCCCCAGCAGGCAGGTGATGCATTACTGGCTCCAGCAGTTACAGCAGAAACGTTGGGAGTACAGCAACACGCGAGGGGCCGGTCAGAGAGACAGCTGGAGCTCCCCAACCTTGGCCTGCCCTCCCACCGGCCTCGTAAGCAAAGACAATGGTAGGGCAGGTACACACACACACACACACACACACATTGTTCGTACACACACACACGTATACAGTGTGTACGAACAATGTGGACACTCATTTTCACTCATTTTCATCAAATCCAGGCACCAGCTGAAAGCAAACACCTGTATCTGATGGATTAATATTTACCCAAGTCAAGTCATTGTGTTGCCATGTTCCTTCAGGAACGGCATGTGGGCAGGGCTGGGTCCATCATGGATTCGATGATAAATCAACAAAGGGGACAAAAGAAATCAGCTCACGTCGACTTTATCTTGGGTGTGTTTTATTTTAATGCACTCAGAGAAATAAAAATCTTACTGAGTGCCCTGCTTGTTGTTTTTAAGGTTCTCACAAGCATCTACCGCTGTAACATAATGCAGCTCAGCAACATTTACAATATAAGTAAGATTTATATTTATACAGTGTAATATATTAATAACTCTATCAGTTATGCTGGTGTTCCACTAACCAGCTTTATACACCAGCAAAATGCTGTTCACATTCAAGGTGTTGACCCTCGTGGAGTCAGACAGGTTAATCACATGGTTTGACTGGCAAGAAAGTTTAAAATAAAAAAGTAAAGGTTTATAGGTATGTTTGTTGTTTCACTTGGATATGAGGCTGTTCTGAACCAGTTTCACAAAAACCAACCCTCACAGGTTTCACTCATTATTTGTAACATTATTGTTTTAGGGGCACCTAAAGTCTACACTCATATAATTTCTATTAAACGTTGAATGCAACCATTACCAGCAAATATTAGTTTCAAACATCCCTGGTCATCCTGACAAAGAAAAGGTGCAATTCCTCTAGATGTGAAGCAAATAAGAGACTTTGAGACTCCGATTGATGCAAGTAGCACAACAACTGTGTGTTTTCCTGATCTTTAGGTCTACTAAAGTGACAAAAAGTGACTTAAGTGTTTTGACAGGTGTAGCTGAGCTGAAATGAACTGTGAATGCCTCTTCCTTTTCCTGTCACCGCATACACATAACAAATGTTTTTCTTTATAACACAAATTTCTGGTGTGTGTGATGTCTATTTTAAGAAAACCCAAATAGCCATGTTATCACTCTATATCAATACCAATATACAGATACAATATTTAATAAATGGTATTACAATACTTGATTTTGTCAACATTCGTCGGCCCCCATACAAGACAAAGCATTTCAAATAGATCCTACAAAAAGTAGCTGGTTCTGAAAGTAAAGATATAGAATACAAAAGTGTTTTTCTGATTTTTTTTTTTCTCATATTCAGTTATTTCTGTGTGAGAAGTCCATGACCTTTGGTCCCTGAGCTATGATGAAATGAAGGAAATATCAGCCAGGCTTGCATTAATGTCTCCTTCACTGGAATATTCCCTCCAGCTGTAAAGAGGACATATGTTGCTCTTTTTGCATGACTAGTAAAAGATGAATGACTAATCTTTTCTTTACAGTTTAACCAAAGTGCTACTGTAGACTGTCATGTAGTAGCTACTGACTATAAAGGTTTAGACACAAACCATGTTGACTTCTCATCAACTAATTTGCTGCGTTAATTAAAGCTGGAGCGGGTTTAGTGCAACAACAACTATGTGTTGATGGCGGCAGGTTTCCTCTCTGGGTGTGACAGCATAAATGCGGAGCAGCTCGGCTCTATTATAAAAAGTTCCCACACTGTTAAATTCACACAAAGAGGAACATTTATATTTAGCCCGCTAGGCTCTGAAATGCTACATTCTGTATTTTCTGATGGTTAGGGAGCCACAGACATCCACCCTGCTGTAAATAGCATTCTGGGCAACTCAAAATATTGCCCCACTTTACTCTGGAATCCATTCAGGGTCAGTACAGTCATTTCCTCAGAAGACAATAGTTATCGCTGGTGTCCTGTGAAACAAGTGGCATTATGAGTCAATGCAATAATATTATTATGTTGTTCTAATAGGCTCTTTGTTTTATTCTCAGATGCGTTTGTCTTTGAGAAGCTGAGCGAAAGCATGGAGAAGGTCCGTAGCGACTTTGCCATGGACACAGAAACAGATGGCGGGGGAATGGTGGGGATCCAGTCAGCCAGGGGGCCTTCTGCTGCATCCACAAACCCCCTCAACTTCTCCCTCAGAAACTTTGGTACAGAAATCAGGTAAGCCCGAACGAAACCTTTCCGCACCCTCGTCGGATGATACCCACAGTTTTTTAAAACGAGAGCGTATTTTCAAGTCTTTGTTTGGAGGCCCTGCTAAACAGGCACAACTAGTTTGTCTTCTATATGCCTCAATAGAGCTGTACTGAGGAAAGAGAATACCTCCTCAGGTTCTTCCTGATGTTGTCTGCCGTGGAGGAAATGGTTATATCCATAGTTTGCTAGTGGCTGCTAGTATGCAGTCATCAACAGTTCCCCTTCTGGGCCATACAACACATCCATTCAAATGATGCAACACTGAAATGCTAAAAATGCAGCATTGGTTTGGACTTTGCTTTGTGTCTGTGATAGAAAGAGAATTCACTTATAAAGGTGCACAGGAATCTTGGAGCATTTTGAGCTTCATTGCTGCCTACTTCTTATAGCATGTCTCCATACCACTGTACTCTGACTTTTTTATGATGATTTAGCATCTCGTATTTTAGAATGCGAAGGGTGTTTCTAAGGGATATAAAACTCACAGCAACTAGTTGTTTGTTTGTATTTTTGTCTCCAAACTAATTGGTAAATGATTCATACTAACTGAAATAGGGGCCAGTTAGGGACGGTTTTACGATCAATACAGTTCACAATACTGGGTCCACAATATGATTTTCTTACTATTCTTTTAACAAAATTAGATTGAAAACAATTCATGACTGAAAAGGCTTTTCAGACAAATCTACAAAATATATTTTCTTTATGAAATTATCAAATCTTAAGTAGGGTATAAAGTGTGCAAAACGGTGCATATTTTGGAATGAAACCTTGATACCACAATCAGTATCACGATTCATTTTTCATCTCACCAATTTGAATCTTACTGATTTGTATTGCGATATATCTTTACATTCCTTGGGCCAGTAGAACATCTTATCTGTAACTAACTGTTGCGTGTCTAAATATGTAAGTACCTGCAGTTATAACTTATGATCAGAGCAGGAGCAGCTGAAGCTCAAGAATGTTATCAGCAGAAATATGATGTTTAAACATGCTTGGGTCACGAGTCCGAACAGTTCTGTTATGGGGCTGCTGTAGACGGATGCATTAAATAAAATGAAAGAGTTTCTGTTCTGTCAGGTGGCTGTGAGCTTAACAACTGAAGTACGTGACTGAAACACGTCCAGCGTAGACAAGGTGTGAGCAAGGCACGATCTTCATTCTGCTGCACAAAAATAGTCGCGTCTGAAGTGATCTCACATTCAGGAGTGTGAAAAACAATGAGTCTGTGTCAGCTCTTGTTTAGACACGACCCTGTCGATGTTACATTGAAGGATGCCTTGTTAATTAGGGTTAGGGTTAGTCAGGCTCCCCCGTTTAGTTTAATATAGACATATCATATCTACTTAGGTTGTAGAGCTTTATATAGCTTTTTATATATACAGCTGCAGTTCTGTTTCCAGGGCCTGCTGGGGAAAGTATAAAGACCTCAATAAAGGTTTGTTCTAATGCTATTATTTAGAAAGTAGCAGAGCATCGGTGTCCTTGATTCCTGTGGTTTTGAAAAGCTTTTACATAGCGGCCACTTAATATCCAGAAAACACTGAGTCTCCACAGTCTCGGTCTTACTAACCCTCTTGTCTGTTGTCTGTTCTGTCAGGAACTCCATGTCTTATCTGCGGCCGGGGAGAGGAGGCGAAAACAGACGCAGTGTGTTTTACACTGGCAACAGCAGTGCAGAGGAGTGGGAACTGGTCGATGCTCCACCCAAGGACTTCCCTGAACAGAAACATCATCCAGACACACACAGACGTAGGTCCACTCCCTGTTGCCTTATTTTTCATTTGCTCAATACTATGCTGAAATGGACAATCAGTGCATTTTTCTGCCTGAAACACTTTAATTACTTATTTGTTATTATCTACAAGTACAATTTAAAACTATAGGTGGGGATAACAAGCCAATAAAAAGGAAAATAATGCAGTTCTCTTCTCTCACAGATTCCTTCGGATCAGCTTTTACTTTTGACTTTGTGCGCAACTCATCGCGCCCCAAGAGGCCTTTGCTCCGAGACATGAGGTTTGGGCGCAACGCTGACACACGCAGTGCCGAGAACTCGCCAGTGGAGTGTAATGGAAGCAAATCTTTGGAGATGCAGCTTCGCCTCCAGAGCCAACAAGAAGAACTTAATCGCATGCAGCAGGAACAGACCAAACTCAGAGAAGAGCTCGCCAGTCAGAAGGTACAGTTATCCCACTCATTATTTCACCCAATGAAATGTCTTTTTTTTTTTTTTAAAGAATGTAATACAAGTATATGGATTTTATTTTTTTTATAAGGATGTGTAGCATTTTTAGTTCTGTTGGTCTACCACTTTTGTCCTGAATTATGTCAACCACTATCAGATGGCTTGCTATAAAAGTTGGGCCACACATTCAGGTCCAGACACTTTTCACAATTAACCATAAAACAGCTGGAGTGACTTCTTAAGGTGTGAGTTATCCACAGTAGGGGAAATACCAAGCTGACCGGAGTGATTTTGCTCTGACTGTAGTTAATTCATCAGTCTGAGGTTGTGGTGACTGATTGAACAGTTTAATCCTGATGCTCTCACTAATACCGGAAGACAGCAAATGATTAGTCATGCTTGAGCAAGAAACAAGGAAACAGCAGTTCTGTTAACAACACTCACAGCTGCGTCGTTCCTTTCCATTACTCTCTGTTCTTGTTTTAATGTTTTTGAGACCAGCCTATCAGTCACAATGGTTTGCAATGTAAGCCAGATGATTATGATGTATGTGTGTATGGTTCCCCTGTGAAGTGGTTGACTGCCAGCTCAAAACTGTAACAGGAATGAACTGAGTCAGCTGGCTGTCTCTGCGTAAATGATGTTGGAAACACTCGGTCACTCCTGGCACTGTGCAGGTTCAAGTGGACCGGAGCTGACACTGTATTGTTAATGCTATTGATTTATGTCCTCCAGGTAATATTGGGCCTAGACTGAATTTGTTAGTCACATTATGCCTGTATTAAAGGGTAAGTTCATCCAAAATTGCAAAGAAAGATTTGTTTCCCACATGCTGTCACTTGGTTATGGTGCTCAGTGTTTAAATATTACATTTGCAAAATGACAATGTCTGGGTTATTCATTTTAATCCTCAGACCTCTCTGTGGACAGTTTTCAGAATTTTCTACCCTTGTTAGAAAATAGTTGCTGATGAAAACTGTGTTTTGTTGTCTGCATCCGTGTGACCATGTGCATGTGGGTGTATTTGTGTCACACACACACATCAGTGTAAATGTGTGAGCCAAGTATTTGCACATTGGCCACATTTTCTCAGTGCAGCAGCCTAATGATGTACATAGCTATGGTAAACTTTTGTTATTGAATTTCATGCTCTGTAATTACATGTAATTGGTTATCTGGGCATAGTGGTGGCTCAGTTACATGTTACTGCTTAGGTCAGCATGAATGTGACCTCTGTCAAACAGTGTGAACTAGCAGGGTATCTCCTGGGAAATAATTTAGCCGAGGTGGTAAGCCACCCGGATCCTTGCGCATCCTGATGTGTACAATTTAGTAAGTACATAAAAGCCTGAACAAAACGCCCGCTAAATATAATGGCTATTCTAAATGTGATCATTTAAAGTTTTTAAACTATTTATGATGTTTGGCGGTCTCCGTTTTAGCTGAAGTGAACCACTTTATTGTTATTTCCTCAGGGAAGTCGTTTTGTAGTTTGATTTGAAGAACAACAACAGGCTTTTTTCTTTGTAACATTGTAAAACACAACAGTGTATTATTAGTTATAGAAAATAAAATCTTACTATATGACTTTTCTTCTTAATACAGAAGTTAATAACTTAAACTAACATCTTTTTATTTACTTTACTCTGGGCTTGTAATTGCATCGGAATCCAGCAATGTTAAGTGTAAAAAAATTATGTAATATTCTTAAAATTCAGTTAATAGAAAATACGGTCAGTTGTTATACAAGTAAAAGCAAACAATATGCAGCTGTCCTTCAAGAGTGCAGCTTTTTTGTTGACTAGACAAACATTTATCAGCCCAGTCTTACGCCAAATAGATCCACCGATCCACTAGAGATGTGCAAAGTACACACACGTATTAAAGTGCAGTGGCAGCCATAGTAACTTACCAAGTAGGTTCTTTTGCTAAACATAACCAAACTGATACCTCGGAAAACTTTATTTTGAATCTGTAACTGGATGTTACATATGTGTGTATTACACACTGATACCAAGTTGCATTTATACCTTTGTGAATTTACCCCACAAGGTCAAAACATTTTACATTGAATTCAACACATCAGTGTTTTCTGTGAACAGGTGACTACATCTTAAAGAATGATCCTGACCCTGCAAGACTGTGTTGACCAAAAATCCCTCTTTATCTAAACCAGGAGCTTGTGAGACTTCTGCAGCAAACTCTGAGGACCTCCCAGTGTGACAGGCAGCCAGTGCGGCCGCCAGCCCCAGCTCCGGATTCATCTGCGGCTCCAGACCAGACTCAAGGTCCAGTAGTAACACAGGAAGAGAACACCCAGATGGAGGCCTTGCTTCAGGAAAAAGACGGACAGATCCAGTCCCTGTGTGGCCACATGGAGCGTCTTGCCTTGGAGAAGGAGAGTCTGCAACAAGAGCTGAAGGGCCTGAAAATAAAGGTGGGGGAGATAAACGACCAGCTAGGGATGCTAATGGAGACCATCCAGGCCAAGGATGAAGTCATCATAAAGCTGTCACAGGAGAGCTCAGAGCAGAGCGGCAATCACAGTGACGCCGGTTCACCACTTCCCAACAAAGATCAGCAGGAGCTAGACATCCTCAAGGTACAGAGGGAAACACTTGGATATACAGTTGAGCTGATGAATATGAGCACTGGAAGAGCTTATTCTGGTTGAATTTGTAATTAAATAAGCATGTTTCTCCTTCTCATTTCAGGACAGTCTTCAAGGCTACAAATCCCAGAACAAGTTCCTGAACAAAGAGATCCTGGAGCTGACAGTGTTACGTAGAAATTCAGAGAGTAGAGAAAAAGCTTTAGAAGCAAAGGTACTCGCTTGTGTTTCTCGGTTAATGTTGCATTACTCTGTTAATAGAAACAGGAAGTCTGAGTAGCTTTTAGGGGAAGTCCAGCTTTGACCTCAACTGGTGCCCCCATAAACCTAAAAAAATTCCAAGTAGAAACAATGAATAACAAACGTTGATCTTGGTCTGAACAAAGATAAATGCTAATGTGTTTCTGTTATCTTTGCTGCAGTATACGGCCCTGGAGGCCAAGATGTGTCAGGTGGAGAGTAAGTACCTGGTGCTGCTTCAAGAAGTGAAAACCCCGGTGTGTTCGTCTTCAGAGCAGAGCCAAACCCGTGAGGTCATTTCCAGATTATTAGAGGATGCACTGCAGGCAGAAAGCCCCGACCAACAAGAGCACCCCATCTTTAAACCAAATACTGTCAGGTATGGACTACGCCAAAAAGCCTTTATAAATAAAGGTTTTTTTCATATTGAAAACTGTGTTGAATTTCTCTACAATGTTTTCATTTAAACTAATTTATTTAAATATCGTTAAGTTGTTACTTTGAGTAATTATACAGTATTCTAACATTCAAGCATGTTTTGCAAAGATAAATGGCTCAACGTAAATGATATCACACTATGACACTATTTCAAGCACAGCTACACTGTAGTTAAATAGAAAAAGTCCACAAACAGGTCACTCCCTTGGTATCAAAGGCCTGCAGCAGCCCTAGTGTTCCCTCAATAATAATAATAGACCCAAAAGCAATGCAGTAACCAGACTTGTTTTACTTTTACTACTTAATTAACAGCTGTAGTCAATTTATCTTGACTGGAAAAACTAGCCCTGCTAATCGGTATTTCAGTCTCTATTGCTCTACCTTCTGTGCGAGCTCAGACATGTCCTCTGGAGCTCGTCAAAATGTATTTTTAGAAATCAGGCAATTCCTAAGTGACGTAACACTGAAGTCAGGTTAAGCTAATGTGGGTAGCCCTAAAAGTGTTAATAATGTTTGGAATGAATTGAACATCCCTGACTGATGATAGTTTTCCTACATTTTCTCTCTGCCTTGATTTAATGTTAGTGAGTACGACGTGTTCGGCTTCAAGACTGTCCCCGAGGAGGAGGAAGAGGAGGAGAAGCTGGTTGCGAAGGTGAGAGCTCTGGAGCTGAAGTCCCTATCCATGACGGATCAGGAGGTGTCCGTCGGGGTGAAGTGGGAGAACTATCTGGCCAGCACTATGAACAGAGACCTGGTGCGCTCCCCTGAGCTCAAAGCCCTGATGCGCTGCGGTGTGCCCCACGAGCACCGATCCAAGGTCTGGCGCTGGTGTGTCTCCTTCCATGTCAAGAAGTTTCGGGACCACTTGGCCCCCGACTATTATGAGACCTTATTAAACGTCGCCCGGGACAAGCCTAACCCAGCCTCGAAGCAGATCGAGTTGGACTTGCTGCGTACTTTGCCCAACAACAAGCACTATGCCTCCCCAAGTGCAGGCGGCATCCAGAAACTCAGGAACATCCTGATGGCCTTCTCCTGGAGGAATCCGGATATCGGCTACTGCCAGGGACTGAACAGGTACAGGACTTGTTCTACTGCTCTTTTCCCTCTCATCGTTTCTGCCTGGTAACCATTCATTTTTATTTCATGTAATTTCCTCAGGCTGGCAGCTATTGCCCTACTCTATTTGGACCAAGAGGACGCCTTCTGGAGCCTCATAGCCATTGTGGAGGTCTTCATGCCAAGAGACTATTACACCAAGACTCTGCTTGGCTCACAGGTAAACAAGCTCAAATGTTATATTCCAGCACTTGGAGACGCTGGGACAAGTTACTGCCTCCCCTGCAATTTTCTGTGGGGTCATTGATGTCATATCCATGTGACTGAGGCTGCTGCTCATGACTGATCATAGAAAGAATGCAGCATAGTAGTCAGCACTGGTTGCTTTCTTTCTCTCCTCTGCTGGATTGGATCCTATGTTTTCTCCTGCTGTAAAAAAAAAATTAATAACAAATAATATAGTATTAATATTTGGTTGTGTCTGTGCAGGTTGACCAGCGTGTGTTCAAGGACCTGATGTGTGAGAAGCTACCCCGGCTTCATGCCCACTTTGAGCAGTACAAGGTAGACTTCTCCCTCATCACCTTTAACTGGTTCCTGGTGGTGTTTGTGGACAGTGTGGTGAGCGACATCCTCTTCAAGATCTGGGATGCCTTCCTGTTTGAAGGCCCGAAGGTAAGAGTCAGAGGAGAAAGTAAAACTGTGATCCCTCTAATGTCACGTAGACTGATTCTGTCTGGACATGCTCACAGAGTTTAAAAAACAAAAAGAGAGAGATAAGGAGACCTTTGAAAATGTCGATATAGCCATTCTGTTGGCTCTACTGATGGTATGTGTGATTAGTTGTCTGTGTAGTTAGAATTTATCCAGGCCTCTGTTAGACTGACATGGTTGAGTTTATGGCTATGCAAAGTTAAAGCTCCACTTCTTATTATGTAATTAACAGTGGATCAAATACCTATGTGTATGGAAATGGCCACTTATAGTGAAATTGAAAGTTGTTGTTTTTTTTGCCTGTTTTAGCTTGCTTTTTGCTCTCATAAACCTCACTTCCAACAGCAGAGGGCAGCTGTTTTCAGCAAATAAGCTTTGATAAACTCACCATATGCTGTTGAAGAAAGACCAAAACACAACCAAAAAGAGTGTTAGTATTAGAGTTTACCAGGTGGAAACTAATGTGGACGATGTGTAAATAGCAATAAGATATTGGCTTCAGTACTTTTTAGTTTTTAGTTTGTTGCGGAGTGCTGTCCCAAAGTTGCCAAAGAAGCCAATTAATGCAGCATAAAACCTGCAGTAAGTAATTATTGGCTAATTGGGGCTGTGGAAACAAGCTGTGAACACAACACTGACATGCTGTGTTACCACATCTTTAAAACTGTCATGGCAAGCTTGTAAGCAAAGTTTGTTGTTCAGATATCCAGCAGATATAAGTGACAGTAGCATGCATGTGGAGTCATGTTTGTGTCCAATATTCACTCTGCTTTCCACTATCTCCTGAGGGAAAAACATCTGTCTACTTAGCTTCTAAATGCTCTTCATTAGCTACTCTATAACTTTGTCCGTCTGCCGTTTTGTTGCTGGGCAGATGGCACACAGTTAGTTTTTTTATAGTCATGGAAAAATGGAAGTCTGCTGTGGCTGAAAGCAACAGCATCAGAGCTGTGACAGTAAACCAAAACAGTGATGTTGTGGCCCGGAAAACCAACACGAGTTTAAAACATGCTGTGAAGCTTGTTGAGCTGAGGGGAAGTGTAAACTTAGGTGATAACTTTCTGTGGCTTCATCACTAAGATCAACCACTTTCACATACAACAAGGCTGCATTTAGACTGCAGGTGGCCCAAAATCCAGTTTTCTTTGCTTTGATATGTGATTGCAAATCACATTTGAATCTGGTGTTTTTCATTCTAATCTGCGCCACTTTAACTATACAGAATCAGCAGCCCTTGCACCACAAAAACCCATCATTAAAAATCTGGCCCCCCCTTTTTTCCCTCACCTACACTCTCGTTATCATCCGCTCAAAGATTCGCTGGCTTCCACTGCACATCAACTGATAAATACTGATAAAGGCTTACATTCACGCACATTCCTCTAAAAGTAATAAATACTGCCTTCAGCCTTCTAAAGTGGCTTTGTGTGTCAGAGGGATGTTGTGTTATAGTAAACGGTCACACAGGGAAACTCATGAGGCAGATTTGACGGCTTTGATCATTTTTTTTTCTTTGTTTCTCCACAGATCATATTTCGCTTCGCCCTCGCTCTCTTCAAGTACAAAGAGGAAGAGTTTTTGAAGCTGCAGGATTCCACAGCCATCTTCAAATATCTTCGATACTTCACACAAACGATCCTGGATTCAAGGTACGGCAACTGCAGTTTGTTTTGGTATTTGCAATCATGTGTATAAGAATGAGATTTCTGAAGATGGTGTGTCTGCAGGATCATTCAGTCATAATAGTCTGAATGTTTGTACAAAGGAATACACAAAAGATCTTTTTCACGGTTGTTTATTGCCATTTCCACATACAGGAATAAATACACAGGAATAAAATGTCATTTCTCGTAGCCCTCAACTTAAAACAAATATACAAAACAGGGCCAACAGGATGTCATATTCACAGCATGCAGAACAATAGAAAAACATTTGCCCTTTTTTTTGCTTTTCTTTTTCCCAGGAAGCTGATGAACATCGCCTTTATGGACATGAACCCGTTCCCCATGCGGCAAATTCAGAACCGCCGCTCCTTCCACCTGGAGAAAGTCCGCCTTGAGCTGACCGAGCTGGAGGCGATCAGGCAGACCTTTCTCAGGGAGAGAGAGACTAGTCAGGACGGACGGAGCTTCGTCAGCGATGATGAGGAGGATAACTGACCTTAAGCTTGTCACATTTCCCAGCTGAAGTATGAAGAGATCACACCTTCACCACACCAGTGATGTGCTGCAGTTGAAAAGGGATTTTTATTTCCTAAAGAATTGGTCTCTGAATCAGGGCTGGAACAATCAACTTTCTATAAATGTTGAGTGAAATCTGATCAAAAGACCAAAACTTTACAGGCCAAATGGGCTTTCTATCAGTATTCCTGCCATTTTTGTTTTTGTTTTTTGTAAAAGCCTTATTTGTTGTATGCTTGTGTGTATATGTGACAGCCAGAACAGTGTGCTTTGTCCATGGCTCTTCAACCTTCAATGCCAAGCTACACTCTTTCAGTCCGAATCAGTATTTTTAAAAACATGGCTGTGATCTTTTAAAAGTCTTCGACTTTATGCCTGTTGAAGGAATGATTGTATTTTTTTCTTAACTCTTGTTTTCATTTATTTAGCTTTCTCTGCCCCCAGTTCCTTTCATACAAGTCTTAAAAATGTTTAACTAAATATTTTTTTTAATATATTTTCCACATTGCCACTCAACAACACATCTTTTGTGTTTGATCCCTGTGTCTGTTGATGCACTTGAATCGTCTATGCTGAAATTCAGATTCTGCTGAAAGTCTTAGAGCCTTCTGATCCCTAAGTTGAACATATCATTCCAGTCTCTGAGGAGTGTTTGTGCCTCAAAAGAATTCAAACAAAGGTCTACCATCAAACCTCAGCAAAAACAAAATCGTCTCCCCATGTATTATCATTTGCATAAACAGCATGTGGAACATTTTGGGGAGGACTTTGCTTGTATTTGTTTTTTTTGTTTTTTTTTGTTTTTACAAATCTGAGATAAAATAATTGGAGACAGTAATTGAGCCATCGTGTTAACGCTGTCAGCCAGTGCTGTAATGTTGGTCATTCCAGTTTATCTGTCCATATTTGGCAGAGTTTCTTAATATTGTCATGTTATTTTTACACTAAAATACCACTTAATTACTTAAAGTTTCCCAAAGACATTACATTTGTAATTGACCAAAAAACAACAACTATTGTTTACACATTTATTATGGACAATATTTAAAATTGGCACTGACCAAATCAGTCGATCCCCTACAAATTACCTCATTATCTGACTATTTTATTGCAACTCTTTTGTGTATTACGATATATTATTTGCCCTAAAAAATACCCCTGCCTGTGAGTATTGTGCTAAAGTGTAATGTTCTGTTTTCTTTTCGTAATGTTCTTGATTTTTCAAAAAATAAGTTGGGATTTTTATGTGTTTAAAGGATTCAATTTCCCCTGACTAAAATCTATTTTGCAAGATTTACAGGACATGTAATGCTGGGATTACTTCTCTGAGCCCTGTTGGAAAATGCTGATGTATTTACATGAATTGTCCTCAGTGTGGCAGTATAACATTTGTCTACCAAGCGTTTACACCAGTTCACAGGTACCCTCCACATGGTATGGTTTTATAGTTTAGTATACTGTCGTTCAGCTTCGGATGAAGTGGCTGTGAAGTCAGTCTGTCAGCATGATTGTTGTGTGAAAATGGAAATATGATTTGTTATGTATGAAGGAAGTATTTCAGGAGATTGCTAAACATGTGTAGCAATATCTTTCTGTCTTCCACATTCAGGTACTTACAGATGATAGCTGTTTACTTTTCAACATTGTGACCATATTCTCTATTACACATGTTTTACGGTATCTACTGTGTAACAGACCAGTATGAAAAAGTTAATGTTCCACACATCAAAACCTGCTTAGAAAGAAACCATGTTTAGATTTGAGTAAATCTGATGTCTAAATGGGAATCCACAAGAGAGGAACAAGTTTTTTTTCTTCCACTTAGCCTCTTTTCTTGTGTGCTGATATATTGTTTACAACTATGTTGTTTGTTACAACTTTTAATTTCCTTTACTCTAATTGTACTTTGAGCTGTTTACAGAATCGACTACCTTTTCTCTGTTACAGTATTGTCCACCATAGCATCACGCCTAAGTTTTTGTTTGTGGGACCACCTGAACTTGTGAAAAATTGGCAGGATTATGGTTGTTTTGATGATGGAAATGTGAATGGAAGAAATGACCCGTGGAAGTAGAAATTTAATTAGTTTTTCATCATGAGAGCAGGTCTCTCTACTGATAAAAAAAAATATGATCAGTTTAAGATTTTTTGGTCCACTCATTTTGTCAAAGGGCTCATATAGTAGGTTTTTAGTTTATACTCATATTTTAGTAAACAACTTCTGTTCTAAGGCTACTCTGTCGTCAGTTTATTTTGTACATTGAATAAGCTACATTTAATCTTGTCACCTTTTTTTTTTTCCCTTTCTCCCTTTCTTGCTTCTCCCACCAATGTATTGCACAAGTGTAGCAACAAGATGGCTTCAGAATATTATAGGGCACTTCACTTTTTGTATGCAAATCTCTATGATATCTTGTTCATTGTTAATTGGTATCATTTAATGATAAAACGTGTAAAGCTTTTATGTTACAGCATTAAGTATATGCCACTGTGATGTTTTTGTAATACCAATTCAAATTCAAATAAATAATGGCTGACTCAACGTGCTCTGTTTTGTAGGAGTTCATAAGAGAAAAACTGCTTGCTGTAAGATTTCTTAGTTCAGAACCAAACCAGTCATCTTTATTGAAAGACTTGCCTCTCTCGTGCTGCAGTTTCATAATAGAGCCATCAGGGGGAGGGACTTCTGCAGACACAAAAGCCTGATGGGTGCTGCCATAAGGGACAGAAAACAACAGAGACGCTAAAGGAGTAGTTTTGTGTCTGAGCTGCAGCCATGAGGAGACCAGACCAGCTGTAGGAGAAGTTTATCATCATCTCTGCATCTAACAGAAGGTAAAATACAGCATAAGCTTTGGTTGCAGTCAGTGTGTAGAGCCGCTTCAAATGTCACAAGTCTTACCAGATAGGAAGTTTGTGGTATTTCAGTTTGTGAACAGTTTTCTCGTCTTCACATTTTTGTATGTACATAACTACACTCTTAAAGTGTCCAGTTAATTGCTGTTCTCTTTTTAAATGAAATCCATTGTACACATGTTTTTTTAATAGTTACAAAGTGCATGTTGCTGCCAATGTCTGCCTTTTTACATACCAGACAAAATGTTTCACAATGCGAACAAATTTCACAGATATCCTGTCCTAATTACCTAAAATGCTCTTTTCTTTTCATTAATAATCCTCTAATAATCACACAAACTAAACACTGTTACTCTGCCCAGCTTGGCACAGTTGTATGAGTTGTACTTATTACATTTTAAAACCAGTAATCAGTATTTAGACAAGTGAAAGATAGACTGTTTCCTTTGTTGATCAACGTATAGGGTTTAGGCTTTCTCAACAGGCAAGTTAAAGAAAGTACAGCTCTGAGATGGAATGTTTTACAGCAAGCTGAAACATGCAGTAAATATTTTCATGGCTCCAGTCAGGAGTCATTAGGAAGACCTTTTTGTATCAGCAGGGTTGGACTTGTGGAGAAAGTCTTCAGTGGCGCATATCAAGGAGATAAACTACATCAATGAAGACACCTGGCATGGCGGTGTTCAAGCAACAGAACGTGGAAGAGTTCTATGAAATTGGAGAAGAACTGGGAAGGTGAGTATCTTTCAAATCTGTTTAATGAAATGTGTACAGTAGCAGATGTTAAACTGCAGCTCACAGAAAAATGATCCTCCTCACTTTGTGTGAGTCAGAGTGTGATTCAGCTCTCCCCTGCATGCCCCCCGGACGCAGTGGTCCTTGCGTGTACGCAGGTATGCAAACAGCTGGCCTGTTTAAGGTTGAAATGGGGAGTGTCACTGTGTTTAAGTAGGTTGAAGTTTACAGCAAGAGAAAAAGTTTCAAAATTACACGTTCTAAGAAAACAAGCTCTGTTGAGGCACAATGGTCAAATCCAGGAAACAGTATTTTTGTAATTTGATGCACTGCTTTTGCAGCTGATTCTGGGTGGTGGATCGATGTGTTGAAGTTGAATGTTGGAGGAGTGGAAACGGTGTCCCATGGGGAAATACATTAAAGGAAGTTGGCAGGGTGCAATATGGATTTGAGGAAGCTACAAATCTATTCTTCACGGAAGGACAGCTTGGGCATGTGCACCGCTTGCTAACAGATAGAGAGGGTGTGAAAGGACAGTGTCTGACCTCTAACCTTTCACTACTAGTCAAAGTATACACTGTGTCCCGGTATTTGCTGGTAATTTACTTTCTTTGACACACCCTGACAGCGCAACCCAAGACCTGCTGTTGAAATGTGTGCTCCAGCTGCATTTAAACGCCTGTAAAGTTTTTGTCCACGATCACACTTTTATTGTATTTTGGCTTGAGATTCCTCATTTATTTATCTCACGAAATATCTGAAAAGACAGAATATTATTGGGATAAATAGACATTTCACTTAAATGTTGCCATTTTAACATAAGGTACCCTTCATAAGTTGCAATTAGTGTTTTATTAATGGTTAATAAAACATCTACTAATGCTTTACAGATCCATTATAAGCAATTAATTAAAAGCCATTTTAATGACTTACTTTCTGGAAAAGAACTCTACAACATCCGGACCTAAATGCCTTGATCAAAACCACTTATAAACTTTATGTATTGTTGTAAGACACCTTTATTAATGACTTAAATGCATATGATGTTCCAACATTGTTAGTGCCTTCCTGGTTTAATTAAGTGTCATTCTGTTCTCAACCTGGCAAATCAAAAGTTGTTCTTATTAATGGCTTTTAACTGATCTATAAAGGATTAGTGAATGATGTCTTAACATTAATAAAGCCATTAGTGACAAAATGAACTTAAAAGTCCTTTCTAAAGCGTTTATAAAAGCTGAACTCTTTATTAACCCTTTCTAAAGAGTACCTTGTTAGGCAGTAATACTGGTAAATGAAAGATGTGGAAATGTGTTGTTTAGAGACAACATCAGCGAGCTGTGGCTGAGCTGTTACTTGAAAAGACGACTCAGCTGTGAGCTGAGCTACGTATGTGTTCAGCTCCACCATGATAAGGAACTCTAAGCTGCTGTGGTTTATAGCCGCAGATGCCTACGACTGAAAACAAGAAAGCCGCTTTCAGTCACAGAATGGGTTTGAGACATTTATCACCAATTTGGCAGCTGGATTTTTTTGCTTGTAGTTCTTCTGTCGTGTTGTGACAACTTGGTAGTGAGTTTTGGAGGATACAGCCCACCCCGCCCACGGTTTGTCAGTGTCTCATGGGTACAGACCTCCCTACTATACACCACAATGGAACTGTTACTCAATCTTCTTCTGAACAGGGTGGGGAAATTTGATGAGGCTGTGGTTAGTATCCAAGATGTCCTGTGCACTATGGAACTGTTGAGCGATTTGCTTACAGGAAAGTCCATTCATCATTCTCTCCCCCTATTGACAGATTTTAATGTCAAAGGGCCCCACACAGTTGTATTCAGTGTTGCTTTCCACTAGTGACGGGAGGTTTTTTTGGTAAACCTATCTGTAAAACAACCCTTTGCTTGTGATGTGAGGCATTTACTGACAACTGTACCTGTCTTACCATCTGAGTGATGACACTGATGATGACATACAGTAGGATGTGTCACAGTGTGAGCTCACAGCTGCCACTTGCCCTCACACGACACTGGTGGGACTGTGTTGAGCTGTTATACAAGCGACCGGTAAGGCAAGGCTGAGAAAGGAAGGACTTCTGTGCAGATGGTGGAACTATGTGAACTCTGCCTGTCATCAACAGATTCATTCTTGCCCAAGTTTGGTCATGCACTAAACCTTTATACCTTTATTGCTACATTTTTTAGATGGAGAGCTAATAGTGTGGTGGCCTTCAAACACTGAATGAAAAAACGTCATCTTTGTTAGTCATCGTCAAGCAATGTTAAAATTCACAGGATGCACCGTTCGATAGGAAGTTCCATTGTCTTTGCATGTCTGAACAAAAATATAAGGCTTGTAAACTTCCACCTGATTTTGAAATCTTTAGATACTGCACTTCCGTCATAGTGGATATGAATCCTTTAGACGCTTCACATTGGTTAGTACGGAGTCTATGGTGTTTTGAGCCTTGCTGGCAACATGACTATAGATTGTAAGGTCGCTCTGTCAGTCAGTCCATTATTTTGTTCGAGACTGAAATGTCTCAACAACTATTGGATTGATTTAAATTCAGTTTGGTAACAGACTTCATTGTTGATGTGCCTTAGGAGGATGAATCATCCCATTGAGGTTGACATTTGTGATTTCTAGGGAGACGTCATAACAATAGAAGTTTATCACAGCTGTCATTTTGACATGAAATAGAAAAAAAAAGGTCTATTATTGGGTGGATTGCTGTGAATTTGAGACGACATTCATGTCCCCCTCAAGATGTAATAATGTTGGTGATCACTTAACTTTTCTATTAAGTGCCACTATCACGTCAAAAATTCTATTTCTGATCAAATATATCAGCATTATCATAATGCGTATGTTGTAATGGCTGAAGTTAGAATTTAGCGTGGCTGCAGAATCTTTGCTATTAAATTACACAAATGAAGGAACATTAAAAAGGTCACGTCACACAACACTTATGTATGCAAAGTATCCAGTTTGTCTCTGACCACTGCAATATTTGGCATTTCTAGAAATACTCTGCAGAAGGAAATGAAACAGAGAAATGTTTTCAGTTTGCAGAAGTTTGTTGTCTTTGGAGGGAGGATGCAGAGAGGGCAGCGGTGCGCGCACACACACACACACGAACGATGTATTGAAGTGAAAAGAGCCGACAGTCAAGAGGCAGACAGGTGCTGCTGATGAGCACAGTAAAGTGCTAGAGTTTCTCCAAAGGGATTTACTGTACATGATGTATCTATAGCGCGGACAGTAGGCACGCACGTACAAGGAGCAGGGCAAGAATGCATGTAGTCAGCTCTGAGGAACAGACATTCCTGCTGTTGAGTGGGTGAAAAATGTGTTTATTCAGTGCAGCCTGACAGAGGGAACTCCAGGTTGACCCCTTGGACATTCCCGGAGTTCCCATTTTACAGTGGTTGACAGTGGACCACTTCAAAACAACATCCTGAACATTTCAAAGGCATACATTTTGAGATATATCATAATAATAGCAGATAAAGGGGTGCACTAATAAGGGTGGGAAGGGACAGGGGTCAATTATGAATCTGGCTGTCTTTGTCACGCCGTGCCAGAGGTTGTTTTGTTGAGAAATGTGTTTAAATATTGGGCTGGCGCCACTTGTCCGAGCATTCCTCCAACCTTGGCTGTGGATAATGACCTTCAGCTGTTGGAAGTGGAAACTCTGCAGGGAGATGGTACTTTCAGCCCCACTGGCCGGCTTAGAGCTAAGACAGCCGGCACGCCTGGCCCGTTGTGGAATACCACTCCCAGCATCACTGCTCTCGCCACTCTACACTGAAGTAAAGCTCTTGCTCTGACATTTGTGTTGTGTACTTTCTCGCATTTGGGCTACAGCAATCACGACGAGGGGCAATTCTGTTCGGTCTTGCTTTACAGCCAAAATCAAGGGCACTGTTGTTGCTCTCCGGCCATGTGACAGTGCTTCCCCTCAGGCCACTTTACGCCTGTTTTTGCAAGTGGAATTCATTGAGTGACTTACCCTCCTCCTCAGTTCACACATTATCGTAGTCATCTCTAACAGGGTCGGCCTTTCAGGGATGTCTCAGGGGTGGAAATGTCCTGTGAATAGAACAGATAGAGGGAGCATTTGAGATTCTATACTGCTGCTCTGCTTCAGCACCCCACCCACACTGCTTTTATTTTTCCTTTGCAGCATATGTGTGTAATTCTTTGAAGACCATTGTTACAACTTATACTTCCCATCCCCCTCCTTCTCTCCTGCCTTCTCTGTTGGGGCATGTTCACACCGAAGTCTTTGTTTCTGTTGCCCTGACATGAAATAAATTAGCTTAATAATATCTTCCCGTGGTTGCTCTCTAAAGCTTAAAATCAATTGGTAAAAAACATTCCTCTTTATCAGAAACACCTGTACAATCTACTCGCAGTCCAATACAGGTGAAACTAAATACCACTGTATGTTTGTGAAGTTACTTCTTTTCAGACTGTGTCAACAAGATGTTGATTTAACTATGCAAGGCCGTTGTTGGCAGTGTTGCTGTACTCGATTGCATAATATTGGAGGTCTTGTCCCTCAGTGTATTAATCATTGACGATTTAGGCGTCCATAGTGAAAGTACATCTCAGTAACTGTTGTTGTGTTGCTTTGAGCAAGGCAACCTTAGAGAATAGTCTTAGCTAAATGTCTTCAGTGGAACTGTTCCCAGACGTGACTGTATAACTGTGTAAGCACAGGACAGGGTGTGACTCGAAAAAAAGGAAAACTGGCTCAACTGTCCCACACTAATGCCGTTAAAGGACACAACAGGGTAGCTTTAAATCACAAAGATGATTCATTTTTTATTTAATCCATTTATTTGTTTTTGTGATGAGCTGGACTATATCTGAGTAAATGCTCTTTCAAAGTACAAGTGTTAAACTGGCGTGTGAAAAAAGTGTGGCAGGTGCACAGTGTGTAACCATATGATTTTGGACAGCTTTTATCCAGTAGCTCCTCTCAGCAATCCTCCTTTCCGCTCTTCTTCTCTTTGCACCCTTCTGGCTCAGTGGGGTTTGGCTTTCTCCCTAGCAGCAGCCGAGAGGTGGCAGGTGGAGAGAGCGAGCCTGTGGGCCGGGCTATTCTTAGCCCACTAGACACCATGATGATAGTGGACACAGACTGGACAGCCTCTCACAGCCACCCTGGAATCTCTGTGTGGACAGTTATGTCCAAAACAAATGAAATGCCTGCCAGTTATTATCTGTTTCCTCTCTCTGTGTGCTCTAAAGTCTAAAAATACATGCACTAAAGAATTTGCACAAAAAACAACAACAACAACACAGGCTTTAATATGTTTTATCCGATCATCCTAGTTGCTATTTTGTATGCATACTCGACTGAATGTTCCTCTTCTGTCTTGTCAAAGATAACGTTCATCCTCCCCACTCAGAAACTCTGTGCCAGCTCTGCCACCACATTCGCCCTCATGTCTTTCTGTAGCCTATTAAAGAGGGATCCGTGACTGAGAGGCTTGTTTTCAGAGTCTGTATGTATACAGTGGGCAGGTCATCCCACAGCAGCAGGAAGCGTGTAAAGCAGCAGGAGTGGCAGCAGGCTTAGTCAGGTCTGAGATTACAAGTGCTGGTCTGATAATAAAGCCATGGAGACTCACAACATATATTTAACTGGGCGACAGCGCTGGAAAATGTTCTCACACTTCTCATTCAATCTGTCAGTGGGTCAATTATGAGTGAAATGACTCTATAGTTATGTCAGGGGAGGGTGACAATGGAGGAAAAAGTGTACTGGTGCAGTCACCCCTCTGTTTTAAGCTGAAATGCCCATATGTGGCTCAGGATTTTAACTCATTAACTAGATGCCATAACCACATATCCCCAGTCTGTAGTATGCAATACAAGAGTACAATGAAAAGTGCACTCTGTTGGTGAAATTATTCTGAGTTTTGGGGATTTTTTTCAGTGGACTGATCTTATGAGATGGGTACGAAATTTGGCAGGAAGGGTCGCCACTGAGTGGGAGGACAGCAGCTCTGTCCACACTGCGCCTCTCTGATTGTTCTCTGTCTGGCTAGGAAACAGGAAGTGATGGACTACACCACAATATTTTAGCTGGTTTTGACACAACACTTCCTCCCTGACCTTTGTCTTCACCTGTAGCTATATCCTGTTGTTAATTGTTAAGAATTTCATTAGGAAATCTTCTCTGTCTTGACAAATAATACCTACAGTGCACTCAACACACGAGGGAGAAAACACAACACAAATGATGTTAACATTGAGTTTTTTCTTTTTTTGTGTGTGTGTGCAGTGGGCAGTTTGCAATCGTCAAACGCTGTAGAGAGAAGAGTACAGGCGTTGAATATGCAGCCAAGTTCATCAAGAAGCGCCAGAGTCGGGCCAGCAGACGTGGTGTAAGAAGAGAGGAGATTGAGAGGGAAGTGGACATCCTGCAGCAGCTCCAGCACCCAAACATTGTTGCGCTACATGATGTGTACGAGAACCGCACAGACGTGGTGCTTATTCTCGAACTGTGAGTCACTGCATGATTTAACAATACATCACAATATCCTGACAGTCAAAAGAGTTGGTTCATGCAGTGTTACACCTTAAAAGATCCAAACAAACACAATCTACAGAAGCTTTTTTAATGTTTCAGATCAGTGCTGGTAAAGTTGTGTCCTTGTTCTCGTCTGTGAGTTTATTTCTGTGTACATTGATTGTTTGTTAAACCTGTGTTTGCTGAAGACCTTTTGCCAGCATCACGTGTGCCAGAAACATCTCTAACAGAGTCAATAAGGCTTGTGTTGAAAAGGGGCCTCAGAGAGCCCTGTCTGGGTCCAGCGAGTGCCTGGGAACGTGGAGGGCACAATTAGGGCTAAATGAAAGCTCAGTCCAATCAATTCAGGGGTGAAATGACTGACAGAACAGTTCCTGTTAGACGCAGGATGACTTATTGTGTCATTCAGGCTTTTATGTTTCTTTGTGTGAATATGAAAAGAACATTATGTTTAGCTGTTCAAAGGGCACTTAATACCATCTTATTATGAAAAGGTTGAGAACATGAGTCATTTAAGTAGGGCAGACTGACTCAAAGCAGACCCAAATAGTTACCACAAACAAACATATCTAAGGCATCCTGAACCATCCAAATCCTAAGAACTCACTTTAGATAACATTGAAGAGAGCCCTTGCTCCAGATTATTTGAGCACATAGGATGAGTCTCTGAGTGTGTCAGTGTGTGTGTGTGTGTGTTTTACAGGGTGTCTGGAGGAGAGCTGTTCGATTTCTTGGCTCAGAAGGAATCTCTCAGTGAAGAGGAGGCCACTCAGTTTATCAAACAGATCCTAGATGGAGTCCAGTACCTCCACTCCAAGAGGATCACACATTTTGATCTGAAGGTACAAAATGCCATCTGTGTATGCAAATCTATATTTGTCTCATGATGAAGATGACATTACTTACCTTCACAGATACTGAACTGTAGGCTACATGTCAAATATATATAGCAGGTGTCTGATGTACCTGCTGATAAAGTTTTGCTTTTCTGAATTGCACATCCTTCCTGTTTTCTGTGGCTGAGGTCCAGACTCTCAGATAGAGACACCACAAGGTTATCTCTGCACTTTCAGAGAGCAGTGCCTCCCACACTGCTCTCTGATAGTCACTGTCCTGTGTTTCTGCAGCTGCGGCTCCTCTTCACTCTTAATGCTTTTCATTCGGCAATTAAGGAAAACACTCAGAGAAGGCCTCGATTCAAACCTTTCCCCGAGGCCTTGACCTTCAGTTCACAATGACAGATCTGGGCACTCATTTGTGTGTAATGGTCTTATCTGTGCTGACTAGATGTTAAATATATGTTTTATAGCTTTAAAAGAGGTATTGGACATTTTGTTAGCTTATTTCCTTATTTGAGAAGATTAATACCACTCTCGCATCTGTATACTAAATATTAAGCTCCCGCTAGCAGCCGGCTAACTTACTGTAGCTTAGCACCAAGACTGGAAACAGCTAGCACGGCTCTGTCCAAGAGTGACAAAATCCACCTACGAGCACTAAAGTTCACAAATGAATACATTGTGTCTCATTTGTTTAATTGGTTCCAAAACCAAAGAGTAAAAACAACAAGTTGCTGTTTTACAAATGAGGCACAATGTGTTAATTATTGAACTTAGCGTAGCTTTGGTGGCGCTAAAGATTTTGTTACTTTTGGACAGAGCCAGGCTAGCTGTTTCCAGTCTTTGTGCTAAGCTACAGGACGTTATCCGGCTGCTAGTGAGAGGCCAAATTACACATCGTACTATGGCAAACGCATTTAGCATATAAATATAAGAGTGGTGACAATGTTCTCATCTAACATGGCAAAAAAGCAAATTAGCAAAAGGTTCGAGCAGTTGAACATTTCCTTTGAGATTTAAAGTATGACTGTAACCGTTGCAATGTTTTTCTTCAATGCTTACGCAAAAGGCAGCTTTAACCAGGTAACTTGTTTTACTCAGTGTTGTTTATGTATCATCCAGTCTTGGTATTAGTAGAAATCTGCTGACAAATGTGCCTCTCTGTTTTGTTCTTTTTTGCACTTCAGCCTGAAAATATAATGCTGCTGGATAGAAATGTTCCCTTACCCCGCATCAAACTCATAGACTTCGGACTGGCACACAAACTAGAAGCTGGGGCAGATTTCAAAAACATTTTTGGAACCCCTGAATTTGTTGGTAAGTGTTTTTTATTCTGAGATATGTTTGCAGGGCAGGACATTTTAAGAAGAGGCTTGGTGTTTGGCCTGGCTCTGTTTGTGATGCAGGAGTGTGTGCTTTCTATTTTCAGCTCCAGAGATAGTCAACTATGAGCAACTGGGATTGGAGGCAGACATGTGGTAAGAACCTTTAATTACCTCTGACTCTGCTGCCTTCCATACATCAGGCTGCAGTGCATAACTTTGGATTAACCTTGTACTGTTTTTCACAGGAGCATTGGAGTCATCACATATATACTGTAAGTTGGGGTGATTCGTGATTATCAATGGGAATCTTAATGTACCTAAAGAGATTATCGAGCACCGTCTAAGTGAGCGTGTGAATGTTGTTTCAGTTTGAGCGGCGCGTCACCTTTCCTTGGTGACACGAAGCAGGAAACGCTGGGAAACATCTCGGCAATGAACTACGACTTCGACGAGGAGCTCTTCAGTAATACGAGCGAGCTGGCAAAGAGCTTCATCAGTCAGCTCCTGGAGAAGGACACGAGGTAAAAGAACTGACAAACAGCTGAAGGCCAAAGGTCAAGTCTGACAATTCCAATACAAAGCCCAGTATTAGAAGTTTCACTGCGATAAAGCCTAAGCGTATTAAATGTGCACACCTGATCCAAATGAGAATGAAAGACCAGCCAGTCCACAGAAATCTAGAGCAAGGATTTAGGCATTTGTTTTTGGTACACAATGTGACACACTAAATAAAATAAGCTAAATAAACATTATTTGTACCGTAAACTAATTACCCCAGGCAAAGAAATGTGCAACACTTTATTTGTACCACGTTGCTTCACATGTGTTTCTATTTAAATGCACCTCCAGGAAACCAAATATTCTTGTGAAAGTTATCCCAGTCTGAACATATTCCTTTGAGATTCCCATCTTAAAGCGTGACTGCTCACCACACTCCATGTTCGAGTGTATTTACTCAGCTGCATTTTCTTTCCCTTCCTCTCATGATTTTAGAAAACGAATGACCATACAAGAAGCCCTCAACCATCATTGGATTAAGGTATGATTTATGGGTTTTAGAGCATGTTTTTGTGTTCTCTATAACGACTGTCAGCACCACACCTCGTGCTACGTGTGAAAAAACATTTAACAGTTCATGTCAAAGGTAACGTACGGGTGACAGGTTTGCTTCCCATTAGAGAGGAAAATCCATCTTTAAATGTGCCAAGAAAACACCCACTAACTTTTTATGTATGTCCCTGTTGAAAACATGCTTTATCGGAGTCACTGTACATTGTGTCCATCACTGCACCACACCCATCCCTCCGGGGATATTTCCTATCAACAGCTTAGCTCCACACATCTTGTACACACTTGTCTTTCGCAGTCTTTTTGTCAAGAAATTCAATTCAATTCAAACTGAAGCAAGATATCACTATGTGTGTTTTTAATGGCACGGACATTTAACAACCTGTAATGTTGAAGACATGTACTCCAACATTAGCTGCTGAGATGCATGTAAATGGTGTTTTTCTGTGGAGTCTCCGTCTCCTGTTTGGATACAAGCATGAAGCCAGGAAACGTAACACACTCAACTGGAATGTCCATTGTTTTTTTGGTGCTCTTACCTGTCATGGCTTTCGCTGTAGGGTCACACACTAATCCTACAGTGCCACGTCTGCTGGAATATTCACCGCCATGTGTGTTTTCAAGATGCAACAATGAGACAGCCTCTCACTCAGTGTCCCCCCTCCACCCTTCTGTCTGAAGTCCTGTGGCCCCATGGAAGAGGACATCGCTACCCCTGAGGTGGAGAAGAAAGCGGAGCAGCTGAAGACGAAGCGTCTAAAGGAGTACACAATCCAGTCCCACTCCAGCATGCCCCAGAACAACACGTATGCCAACTTTGAGCGTTTTGCCCATGTAGTTGAGGACGTCAGTCTGATGGAGACTGGGCTGTCAGAAGTGGCAGGAGCCCACCAAACTCTGCAGGGCGATATAGACGCACTGCTCTCCATCTACAACGACAAGGAGGCCTGGTACAAGGAGGAGAGTGAGACTGCGAGGAAGCAGCTGTCCCAGGTCCGCTACGAGTTCCGTAAAGTGGAGGCCACAAGGAGGCTGCTGCAGGCAGACATTAAGGCTATAGATGCCAGTCTGGAGAGCATCAGTGGGAAGTACAGCCAGAGGCAGAGTAAGCTGGATGCTCTGAGGCAGGAGCTCAACTCGGAGCTGCAGTGGCTGCAGGAGGTGATGAGCTCTCTGCATCCTGAAGGAGCCAACAGCAGCATTCACAGCGGCAGTCTGAATACGGATGTGAAGCAGGCGCTGCTGGAGCTTCTGCATCAGTCCTGCAGAAGGGAACTGTGTCCCGAGGCCAAACAGCCACTGACAGAGTCTGGCTAACGTACACCAATGAAGGCGCACTTTTATTGACCTTAAAAAGTTCTTGAAAATGTGTTGGTTCAACGCACTGAATTTATTTTTAGCAACACAGAGTTTTGAATGTATAGCTGTGTAGTCTTTACATTTTCTTGATTTAATTTTTTATTTTTAGGAATAGGAATTTGGGGCAATGCGCTTATTCACATTTTTGCTGAGAGGTCGATGAGAATATGACACCACTTTTATATCTGTAGGGTAAATACAAAGCTACATTAGACACATTTTGTTCCCTTTGGACAGAGCCAGGCTAACTAATCTGGCTGCAGATTCACATTTAACAGACAGATATGAGAGAGGTGTCAGTCATCTTATCTAGTGCAAGAGAGCCAATAATAACAGACAGTCGTCACAGATGTATTTGTGCGCTGTTGTTGTTTGATTAAGCGAGTTTGGTAGCTTTTTATTTTGAGAAGTAATGATAATGAAGATAAATAATTATTATGAATGTTTTTGCTGTGTTATAGCCAGAAGTAAACACAGGATCAAACAGCATCAATGGAATGTATCAGAGGTTCACCTTTTTTGATTGATTTATTTTTCCATTCCATTATATTTTTTTAAACTGTATATTGATGTTTGTTTTTACAATGGTTATCAATTTGTAAAGTTACATGTATAGTCATAAATGATTTTTTTCATAGATTCAAATATGCACTTTTACTAAAGGTTTAGTTTATTTATTTATATTTTTTTGAATTTCTTTCTTGAAAATGTTCTATGAGCCAACAGGAAAAAACATCTATGATAAGATCAAATGCGTTCAAAAATGTGTCAACTCCTTATCAGTGGTTTAAAGCATCTCAACACATACACACGCCCATACACATTTTGGTTTTGGCGTTGACGTGCACAATGATATCTCTCACTGTTGTTTAAACATTGAAATAAATATTTATCATTTATTATGTATCTCATTGTGATTTGTGATCTGCGATATCAGTATATTTCCTGTTGTACCTCAGATTATATTGTTAAAATTAATTGCATAATGTGTTTTTTCAAACTTGAACATTTGACATTAACATGAAAGATACCTGCTCTGTTATTTTCTCCCTCACTGTGTCTCTGCAGCCTCTGAATCCCAGGCAGGCCATGGTGAAGAGGCTATCAGTGGTCAACTTGGAGAACTTTAGGCGGCAGTATGCCAGACGCAGATGGAAGGTAAAATACAGTTAGATGACTTCCGTACAGCAATTTGGTTCTATAAAAAAATGTCTCATTCTTCTTTATCTGTTCACCAGTTGTCATTCAGAATTGTTGCTCTCTGCAACCACTTAACACGGATCATGAAGAAAGGCAACAAGATACCTGAGCAGGATGGGGTAAGAACTCACTGTTGGAAATATGTTGGAAATATGAAGCCACGGCCAGCAGCTGATTTGCTTATGTTAGCACAGCATAAAGACTGCAGACGGCGCACAGCAACCCTGACTCTGCCCAAGGGATATGCAATCTGCCTACCAGCACTTTTAATGTTCTGTAATTAACACGTAACATCTTCTTTGTTTAATACATACAAAACCTGAGATGTAACCACAAGTTGTGGTTTTGCGAGGGATTGTGTACCAGATGATCTCCAGCAGCAGTGACTTGGAGTGAACAGTGGAGTCGTGTTGTCACTGTGAGGTTGCTAGGCAACCAGTGAAGACTTCAGTAAATTACTCTTCCTGATTTAGAAATAGTCCAGCACATAACCTGTTGTAAAAAAAACACAGATTTTTATTTTTATACTTGTGTATGAATTAAACAAACAATAACAATAATAATAATAAAACAATAAGTAGTCAATAATGAGTAGATGCTGGTAGGTAGATTTTGTTACCTTCAGAGAGAGCCATGCTAGCTGTTTCCCCATGTCCCTTTGTGCTAAGCTAAGCTAACTTTTGGTGGTAGCTCCATATTAACTAACCTTAATAGAGTGGTATTAATCCTTTCAACTAATGCTCTGCAAGAAAGCAAATAACTGTATGTCTATTTAGAGTAGCTATGATAGTTGCAGTAGATGTATGTTCGGCAGTATTTCTTTGCAGTAATAACGCAGTAGCCACTATCTGAACTGTACTGCATTGGACTCATTATGTGTTTAAGCTGGTATTTTGGATAAAATAATGAAATAATCCTGTCACCACACAAACTATTTCAGAGCTGTTTCTCAACTCAAACATTCTGGTTATTTCAGAGGGATTGTGAAAGTGACCAAGAAGAAGAAATCTTGAAGAGGAGGCCGAGGACCAGAAAGAGAAGCAGCACTTCCTGAGAACAACAACCAGCTTCAAGTGTGTCAGTCAACGATGTGTTAAATTGCGAAACAGTGACTCTACACCTCTTTGACACGCACTTTGCAGCTGTTACTTGTTATAAAGAATCAGCGACAGTATTTGTTTGAGCAACTGCTGTAGATGCAGGATTTTCATTGGTCAAGATGATTTTGTTTGTCTTGGTGGCCCACAGAACCAGCGGATCATCTGCTGTATGTTAGATAGCATTCATAGATGCCATTTCTAAATTTGAGCTAGCGTTTTCTGGCATAACAATATATAATTGGATTATTGTTGACAGGAATTGAGAAGCCAGCGTTAGCACATACACAAGAATGTAGACAGCTTCCTTTTAATAACTGCAGTCTTAAAAGTCCCACAGCTGTTGTTTAACATCCGAGTATAGACAGAGAGTTTTTTCTTTTTAATTGTGCAAGCTGCATGTGAAGATTTCCAAGAGGTGCGTTGTTCAAAGTGTTGACAGATAAAAGGTTTTAGCTCTGCAGGATGACAAGATGGTAGCAGATCTTCATAACCAAATGTTTACATGTTGTTCTGCTGTGTTCACACAGCAATGTCTGTGTGAACACTGTTTACCGTTAACCACATCAGAGTCATTTACCTGAAGCATGCACACTATGCAGAGCTGCCTGTTTACTGTATTTAACATAGGATGTTTTAATTACTGTACATTACTCATGCCCTGTGGGACAATAATTGCATTTCATCTTATGCATATAGAAAAAGACAGTATATAAATATGTTAAATATAAACACAAAAGAAATTTCACAGTTGAATTTTAGAAATAAAGGTTAGGTGTTAGGTTATGATATGTATTGATGTATTTATGGTGTAAATATACATAAATGTCATCCAAATGTCTTAATTTCAGTTTTACTTCTATCTTAGCTCATTAAAAGGAGCATTCACAATTATAAATACACAGACATTATTTTCTGCTCAGTTGTATGTATTTTATGTATTGTATATTTAAATTTTGTGTAATAAATTAATGAACACGATTGTTTTCTTTGTGAGTTTCTACAAGGGCAAAAATCATTGACTCCATCATAATGTAAAGATTAGACCAATGATTCTTAGATATAAGTCAGTGCCATTAAACCTTTTTTTAATGTATTTTAAGGCAAACATATTAGAACTGTGATCTTGATGCAAGAGAATAATTATGACCCTGTGTTAGTCAAGGAGTTTCAACATCCAGATGACCCCCCCCCAGACATAATTTAGCACATGACAACCATGAATGTGCGGTACAAATGGGCTTTTAACAATGTGATGCCCCAAAGCCAATGTCAAAACAAAATAAGACGATAAAACCTCTTGACAATAAATACCCTATTAATTCTCTGAACATCAACAAGCACTAATTGTGATTCTACTGATTTTTCATCTTGCCACTGGTCAGTTATTTAGTCTTACAACAGCACTGTTGTTTGGGCTCAGTTAGGCTGAAAGAGATTGGAGGGATAATTTGACCTGAACTAAATACATTTTTGGCACTGATAATGTAGGCCAGTTCCACACAGATGGTGAGGAAGGAGTCATAATCAAATGGGTCAGTCTGAAATCTATAAGCCTGTTTGTGCTTCTGTATCCCATTACAGAATTATGTAATGTTCAGCACAAGAACACAAGACATTTTATACACAGTTTTGCATATTAAAGTGGGGGTTTATAAGGGGACTATAACGATTTAGTGTTGCACTTCAATAAAATGTGTGATTCACAACAGACACATTACAAAAAGAATGGTCAAAATAAAGCATATACATACACTGATCAGCCATAACATTATGACCACTGACTGGTGAAGTGAATAACACTGCTTATCTCACTATTGTGGCACCTGTCAGTGGGTGGAATATATTTTAGGTAAGAGTGAAACATTTTTGGTCCCTCAAAAGTTTATGTAATTAGAAGCAGGAAAAATGGGCAGTGTAAGGATTTGAGCGACTTTGACAATGATCAAATTGTGATGGTTAGATGACTGGGTAAGAGCATCTCCAAAACTGCAGCTCTTGTGGGGTGTTCCCAGTCTGCAGTGGTCAGTACCTATCTAAAGTGGTCCAAGGGAAGGAAAAGAGGTGAACCGGAGACAGGGTCATGGGCGGCCAAGGCTCATTGATGCACGTGGGGAGCGAAGGCTGGCCCGTGTGG